TATATATATATATATAAACTTACTTGATCATCACCACAGAGAGAGAGAGAGAGAGAGAGAGTCAGAAAGGCAACTCAATGGCTCGCAGAATTAGAAATGATCGAATAATTAATATTCAAGATAACAAAAAAAAAAAAAAAAAAAAAAAAAAAAAAAAAAAAAAAAAAAAAAAAAAAAAAGTGAGAACATGGAGAACATGTATCAAGCTCTTGCCTGGGATCGAAGTCGTCGCCGTGTGTTTTGTGTGTATGAATTGAATAGTTCTAAAACTATATTTGAAAGTTAATAAATAATTTTAAGTTGAAATTTTCAGAAACTAAAGCAAATTTATACATAAAAACATATACGTATTTAGCGCAAATTAAGATCACATCTATCTATCCATTTCAAAAGTGCAAGCAATCAACCTCCCTATGTCAACTCCCCAAACGGTCCGCAACATTCTTTCAGTTTACAAAATTTCCTTTATTTTAAGGATATTTGCACACTGCCCCTCCATGCACCACTTATTTTTACTTTTATTTTTAATTTTTAATTTTTTTACACAATTGTTATAACTTTGTTTGTTCCCCTACCCTGCCATGTTAAAATTAGACCAACTTTAAAAGGCATGAGTCATAAGATATGTGCCATCCATTCATAAGAACATATACGTCTCAACACCTTTTTTTTTTTAATAATTTCTGAAGCTTCTATCTTCTTAATTATAACTATTGTGTTTCCTGAAAAAGAAAATCACTTTAGTGATATGTAAATTTTATATACATCATGGGCTATGTCTTTATACTATTACCTGTAAATGTAGCTCAGCTACTTTAAACATGAATTTTGTTTATTATTTAGTTATCTTATGTACATAGTTTTGCCGATGAATTCTACAGATAAATTATTTTTCTAAAAAGAAAATTAATTTGATGAATACTGTTTTTTTTTTTTTTTTTGAAATACGACAATTTAGTGAATACTCTTAATTGCATGAATTAAATAAACACATGAAAATATTTTGATTTTATATTTCATTTTATTATATGTAGATGGGTTGTCAATGACTTGGGCGCTCTTAAAGAATATTTGCTGTGCAAAGTGCAAAATCAAAATTTGTCAATGCCATTTTAGATGAAATACGTGTTTATTTATGTTCACTAATTATAGTTGGCTGATATTTTGCTTCATTGCAGCATTAACAACCCTTTTCTAGTCAAACTTAGTTTTGTACTATTATAATGCACACAAGTAATTTGCTGTTTTATAGTTATTCAAAGATCTCTTTCTCTCTCTCTCTTTTTCTTTTTCTTTTTTTGATGGAAAGGGTACACAAATATCCTTAACTTGTATGAAATATTGAACATTTTTCCCCTTTTCTAGATTTTAACAAAAGAATATACATATGTCAGGAATGGTTTTTTTTTTTTTTTTTTTTTTGGCAGAAATGTTAGGAATGGTAATCGCTTCATATTTAGAACAACTCCAAAGAAAGAAAAGTACTTGGTAAGTTGTCAAAGAAAAAATTTTGCTTCTTACAACATTTCTTGATATCCATTAAACACTGGCTAACACAGAGGGGAAAATATAAAATTCTGCCAAAGAAACATCATTTTTTAAGGGAAATAAACAAAATAAGCTATCAGATTAAAATCAATGAATTTCACGATGTCATAAAAAAACTATATCCTACCGACAATACTTTCATTAATCTAATTCGCGATCTTTACACTAATTGACTATAATCATATTAATTTGATGCTCAAAACACTTATTCCTACCGCTAATTTGAATACACGATTTATGTTTGAAGGTTTTTTATTAATAGACAATTAAGGCCGCTCATTCTTCACGATAAGATTTTGAGTTCAAATCATTTTCACAAAATACGTGGTCGTTTCGTGAGGAGCCCATATGCCACCCTCACATGCATCCTGTCTTTGAGCTTATGACAAGAATATATTCTAAATTATAGTGTCAAATTAAGAAGAAGTACAAATTTAATTTTGTTTGAACTGATAACACAATTATAAAACTTAATTCGAAAAAATAAAAATAGAAATAACATAAAATAGAAAACAAAACAAAGAAACTTTCCATGAGCTTGCTTGTTGATTGCATGTTTAACACTTCAAGTTCAAACAGCTAGCAATCAAGCTGAGCTAGCAAAGCAAATCCATCCAATTTATTTGACTTTGATTTTCAAATCTCTGTTTTTGAAAAAACAAATATAATAATAAAATCAAACAAATAAACAAATCTTTTAGACTTCCAACCACCTTTTTCTTGTTCTTCATGGCTTTTTTTATATAAAATTCTATTGATGTATTCACCTCAACTTCCCTTTCTCTATGCAATTGCAAATGAAACAGACATAAAGAAACAACCAGAAAGACGTATTCAGAAACCCTAGAGTACTATCCGCCATGGATTTTCCTCCGGACCATTTTCTCTGCCCCATTTCCCACGAGCTCATGAAGGACCCCGTCACAATCATCACCGGCGTCACCTACGACCGCAAGAATATCGAGAAATGGTTCTTCTCCTACAACAAGAAAACCTGCCCGGCCACCATGCAAACCATCTCCGATTTCCAGCCAACTCCCAACCACACCCTTAAACGTCTCATCCTCTCATGGCAGAAGTCCAAATCCTCCTCCGTTTCCTCTTCCACCTCTTCAACGAAACACGGCGAGATTCTTGACCTCCTCGCCACAATCGACTCGTCGCCGTTCAAGGTCAGTTCTCTTAAGAAATTGAGGTCGATAATTGAGATAGGCGACGAGACGAAGACCGATCTGATTCATTCCGACGGAATTGAAGTTCTGATTCGGATTCTAGTCCAGATCCTCGTCTCCGACGTCTCCGATTTCATTACATTCAGGGCATGCGAAGAGTCTCTGGCTGTTCTTCATCAACTTCCCTTGTGCGACGAAGGAAAGATGTTTGATCTGTTGTCCAAGCGGGAATCAATCAAATCCATGGCGATCATGCTCCAGAGAGCCAGCGCCGAGACGCGTCTTCACACGCTCTCGATCCTCCGAAACATGGCGAAAACCGAGTTAGATTGGAGCTTCGTAATCCAAGATCAAGGAGTGGATTTCTTCAAATCGTTGCTGGAGTTAGTTTCCGATGAAGTTTGCGCCAAAGCAAGTTCTTCTGCCTTGGAGGTCTTGATAGAGATTCTTAGCCGTTCGAAGAAAAGTCGGCTCAGAGCGATAGAGGCCGGCGCGGTGTGCGTCCTCGTCGAGCTCCTCCCCGACGCGAACCGGCCCCAGAAATGCGAGAAGATCTTGCTCCTTATTAAGCTCCTCTGCGAGTGTGCTGAGGGGAGGCTGGCATTGGTCGAGCACGGGATCGGAATGGCGGCGGTTTCGAAGAAAATGCTGTGGGTCTCGGGGGCGGCGACGAAGGCGGCGGTGAAGGTGTTGTGGCTGGTGTGCAATTTCCATCCGACGGAGAAAGTTTTGGAGGAGATGTTGGTTTGTGGGACGGTGAAGAAGCTATTGGCTTTGTTGCATATGGATGAACGGTCTTCTACGAAGGATAAGGTGGTGAAGATCTTCAAGTTGCATGGGAATTCATGGAAAAAATACCCTTGTTTTCCTGTTGATTTCAAGCATTATCTTGGATTATAACTGACTCTAATTCATGATAAGAGTTTATCATCATGTAATTTTTTTGTTCATTTTTTTTCAATTTTTTTTTATGTAATACAAATTAAGGTCTTAAGGAGTTTAAAGAAAAAAAAAAAAAAAAAAAAAAAAAAAAAAAAAAAAAAAAAGCAAATTAAGGTCCAATATAGGTTAAAAGTTATACAGATTTCTTCAGTTAAGAAACAAAAAAGTAGAGGTAAAACGCAAAATAAAAAAAAAATAATAATAATAATGTAGATATGATATGAGTAGTGAGTAGTTGGTGTTATTTCCCTTTCCATTGCGTAATAAGTTTCCTTTTTGACTCAAGTATATTTCCTATTGGGTGGATATGATCTGGGACAGAGTTTTTTGAACAAGTGATCTCAGTCCCGATCGATGTTTTTTTCTTTTTTTTTAATACAGAAATTCTCCGTTTTTTATTCTCATTTTGGAAATTTATGTCTTGATCAAAAGTTCCATTATTGCTGAAAGACATTTGTCTAGGAAACAAACAAATACAAAAAAAAAAAAAACAAAAAACAAAGAAAGAAATATATTATTCACATTTAATAGTTCGGACGTTATATCACCTTCTCTTCCGCAATTATCTGAGCTTGGTTTAAATATTCTGAATGATAGGAACTCTTGTGTAATTATAAAAAGATTACATCTTTTTTTTTTCCATTTGAATTTTGTTTTTATTTTATAATTTGTTAGAAGCAGTTGAACGCATATGGGGATTTACAATTTGAAATATATATATATATATATGTATATTTATATAAATTCTCTACTGAGGGTAAGATTTTAATTTAAGCAGTCCTCAAATCTTGATGGATGAAAAAGATAACTCCGCTGGAAGGTTTATAAAATGACGATTTTGTCAATGTAAATACATCTTTGTGTTTGATTGTTATATAACTTAAACCAATTTAAGAAGCACGCAAATTATTATTATTATTATTTTATTTTTCTTTTTGTGTTATTTATTAACCCCGTCAAAGTTTGACTCTAGATTTGTTTTGAATTGATTGTTTCATTCCGAATATTGCCTGCACATCTGAATTTACTGTAGATTGAAATCATTCTCAAACAAAACAAAAAATGAAAAGAAAAATAATTTGTTTAGAGTTTAGATAAGGGTTAAGATTGCTAGGAAATTGCGCTCCCATAAAAAGTGTAAATACACCAATAAAACCGAGTCATCGACTCACTTTATGAGCTAATCTACAATGTACAACGATCTTGTCTACAACTAAAGTCAATTTGTGGTTAAATATACAGGTTAAAAACTGAGGGCTGTTTGTTTCTGTTTTTGTTTGTTTCTGTTTTTGTTTTTATTTTTTACGATTTTTGAGAATGAAAAATGAAAATGGTTTCACAAAACGCGTTTGGTGTAAAATTTTTTAAAAATTAAAAATAAAAACGTTTTTGTCCTTTTCTGAAAATATGAAAACGGTAAGACCGTTTTCATTTTTTCCGTTTTTCTTTTCTCTCTCTTTCGCTCTGGCTCTCTTCTCCGATCTCTCTCTCTCTCTCTCCTCTCCCCACGTTTCTCTCTCTTCCCCGAACTCAGGACGCCGTTTTCACATAATCACGGCCGCGGAGGTGGCAGCGCGATTCCCTGGGCTCGCCGGAGCTTGGCCGTAAAGTTGGCAGCGAGATTTGCCTGGGCTCGCCAGAGCTGGGATGTGGAGGTGGCAGCAGCAGATCTGATTTGCAGAGATGGAGGGAGCAAGTTTTTGACGATTTTTTTGTTATGAGATCTGATTTGCAGGTTTAAGTCTCTTTCTTGCTCTTGTATGTTGGCAGATTATAGTCCGTCGTCTATAGATGTTCAAAAGCTTCAAAAAATCTTCTCTTTCTGAGTTCGATAATTGCAAAACAGATGCAATCTTCTCTCTAACACATACCAATACTCTTCTAACGTAAATCCAAAGAAGACAACAACATTACTATGGTTCTTCAATCAAGAACTCTCTCAAAGCTAAGTATGAAGCACTTTTTTCCCACATTTCGGCTTCAATCTCCGTCGCGTCCTTGTTCAATCTCCCACGGTTCCAAAGAGTTGTCCATAGCCGCAGAATTTTGCAGCTCTTGCAATGCACACCACCTGTTCGAGAAAAGTCCTAAGAGAGACTTTTCAGAATCCACTAACTTGCTTTTCGAGTACTCTCATAATGGCTTTAACCATGAAGCTCTAAATCTCTTTGCCGCTCCGGTTTTCCGGTTGATGGGTTAGCTCTGTCTTGTACATTGAAGGTTTGTCGGTGCTTGTTTGATCAAGTTGCGGGTAGGCAAGTGCATTGTCAATGCGTAAAATCCGGGTTTGGGGAGGATGTTAGTGTTGGCACTTCTCTTGTTGATAACTGAGGGAATTAGAGATGGAAGGAAAGTTTTCGATGAAATGCGGGAGAAAAATGTTTGTTCGTTTAGTTCTGAGTTTGTGATATTATCTTGATATGAGTTTGTGATTTTTGTTGATATAATAATATATTAATATTATTATTTATTTAATACATTTTAATTTTAAATATTATTACATATTTTTATAAATTAAACTACCAAACACAATTTTAGTTTTTTTTTTTAAACTGAAATCAATCTCAGAATAAAACTACCAAACGCATTTTCAGAAATGATTCCAAAATAAAAATGAAAACGTTTTCGTTTTTATTTTCATACAAAAAAATAAAAACATTTTGAAACAAATTCTAAATGCACCCTCAAGGTTTTGAAAAACTGCCCTATTTTATTCTTCAAAAAAGAAAAAAAAAAAAAAAACTGCCCTCTTCTTCTTTTCTCTTCTCATTTTTCATTAGAAATTTCGGCAATCTTTATTCCCACGGCGAGGAAGATCTTAAAAATTCATCTTCCGCAAGATTGAGCCTGTTTGTCCATGTTCTCCGTTTCTGTCTTTAAATTTGTGTTTTAAGAGATAAGAACAAAAATTGTTATCACATATTCTTAGAGAACAAATAGTGTTTGGCAATTGTCAATGAAAACAGAAAAAATGTGTTAAGATAGAGTTTTCAAAAAAACAAAAAAACAAACAAAAAAAAAAAAAAAACTTTTTTTTTCTTGTTATTTTTTTCCCCTCTCAACTCCTTCCACTTCTATTACAATTCTCTCTAACGCATTTACAAATTATCCACTTGAAAATATATTATGGAACTCAAATGCATCAAATAGGTGGAGAATTCTGGTTTCACACATCTCTTAGAACTTCCAAAGGAGCTTCTACCAGAAGTTAATAAACTATCAGTTAGTAGTATATATAAGAATAGAATATGAAACGATACCGATATGTCCAAATATTGTGCACTATGAAGCCGAGACTAGTTTGTGATAGTTAAAGGGATGATGAAAATTGCAATAGTAATAATCAATCTTAAAAAGTTTCTTAGCTAATAAACAACATCAATAAGATAAAAATAAATTCCATGCTGAACTCTATACAAATATAGCTAGTTTATCACCATCAATGTATTAATTATTAAATATCATCATGAGTTTTATTTAGGCCATACTTTATTTGGACAGCCGGAATTTCTGGTACAATGGTATCTCTCTCTAAGCTTGCATCTCAGTTACGAGTATGAGAAGGGGTTGAATAATCATTGTGTATAAACCCCTTTTGCTAACATAAAAATTTTATTGATATAAAACTTAATTGCTGATACGAGGTAACCAAGTTCATACCCCAAGGTCTCTAAAGCTTGGAAATGGCATATCCAGGCAAGTAGGATCTTGCGGGGAGCTTTAATTCTTCCCAGTCTTCGTCGTCCACCTTCGAGAAATATCGATCAACCATGCGGTCACTAATGTACTCAAGTTTAGAAGGTTCCCACTGAATAAAAACACCATAGAAGAGGATTAGAGAGAAGAAATAAGTCACAGAAATCACCAATTTACTCTTTAAAAAATCAGGTAAATCATCTATTTACCTTCCAAAAGAGGGACATAAAACTAAATTTTTAAAATATAATTAGATTTTTCTAGTAGTATCCGAGACGGATATTCATGGCAATTTGCCTAGGTAGAGTGGAAAAAAATTAAAGGCCTGTTCTACCTTGGGGTTCCTATCCTTGTCCACCAATATAGCTCTACAACCCTGCATTCAAAGATTAGGTTAACATCATCTCCATAGAAGACGAAAAAGGAAGTAAAAAAACAAAAGACAGTGCAGAACCTCTACAAAATCCTTGCTAACTTCTCCTTGCAGCACATGACAAACCATTCTGTACTCCCGAACAAGACATTGACCAACACCCTGGAGCCTTCCTTCTCTAATCTGGAATAGTGGCAACCAAATTAAAAAAAAAAATTCATAATAATTAAATCGGTCAAATAAGATTTTCAACAGACAGTTTCCATAATCCATCCGTTTATAATGAATGTCTATTTTGTTTTATCTAAAGGAAATATTCTGGAACAAAGAATCCTTCGTTTAGGTGAGAGGTTGCCATGCTATAGAATACCACATTTTTGACACAAAAAAGTAACAACATTCTATTTATATTCTAGTTTCTCAAAGTATATAAATTCTAACCACAATTCAAGCAATTGTATAACACGGAATTTTAAACATTTCAAAAGTGGCAACGGTAAGGCATGCAGCAGTCATACCGATCTCAAGGAAATTTTTAAACTCATTGGTGATGCCTTTTTCAGTGTTTGAATTGTTGCAGAGATCCAATCATCCCGTCTATTTGCTGCCTCCCTCTCCTTTAATAGAAAGCATAATATCATTTGTCAAGTCAATTATAAAGGTTCATTATTTTCTATCCACAAACCACGTAGAATACACTTACAAATTGAAACAAGTATTATCAAAGCAACAAATACATTCAGAGACACCTTAGCAATAGGATAACAAACCAACTTCGGAAACATCCATATAAACTTACAAGGGAAGATATTATGTCTTCGACTGTTCTTCGAGAGAAGCACTTATCAATCACATCAAGCCTGTATCCAAACAACCCCCAAAATAAAGATCCAGAAGATATCAATAGAGATGAAAAGATCTAACACGCAAAATTCTCTCAAATGGTTGCTGTCTGATAAGATATCTAGCAAACAAAGTTACCAATTGTCCTAAATGACTAAGCTCACAGTTAATAGTAGCGACCAGAAATATGTATACATGTGAATTGTCCCGAGGAAAACACCTAGGTTCCTAACAGATTGAAAAGCCGTGTGAATAAGCATTGGAATAGATATTTAAGTTATAGTGCAATATCATATATGATATCATATATGAACATCTCTACCCAAGAAACATAGAATCTTTTACAGGTAGAGACTTAAATTTTCTGTTCATTAGATATTCTAATGCACTAACCGGAGATGAGCACTTTTCGCTTTCAAATGCGGCTTCTGTGAATACTTATCAATAATTTCAGAAACAATTGCTGGATCACTTGAATCGACCTTGTACAGGGCTTCTTCTAGCAAGGATAACCTCTGTTCATTAACAAATTACACATAAAAGGGCATTAGACAATATAAACTTTCTGCCCAACAATTGAGATAGAGGATTTTACGCACCAAGCTAGCATAGACACATAGCTTTTACGTTTAATGACATCACCAAAAAGAAATTTGAGATGGTAGCTTTACATGGAGGGAGAAATTAGTTGTCCAGACATTTACGCGTCAATATTAGATTAATTTTCTCACAGTAGAGTACATGGGAAATTAGGACAGTGTTAAAACTTTAAAAATGTAATTGTATCAGTGCAAAAACTAGCAGTCTCTATATACAAACAACTAGCAGCTTTAAAAATAAAATAAAATAAAATAACTGCTAGCTCTTAGCTAAATAATTTAAACTCAAGGCTGCACGTCCTGGTTAATTGAACACATAAATAGACATAAATAGTGCTAATCTCATACATAATTTCAGGAGGTCACGATGTTGATTTCTCTTGAAGAACACTGCCCCTTTTTACCCATGCATTTAACTTCTAAGAAGAAAATCTAAGTCACTAGAATGTTTTCTCAATTTTTCTAAGCATCAGCTGCCACCCATTTTCAAACAACCATGTTATTATAGTATTACTTGCTACAGAATATGTTTTGTAGCTGGGCAAGGCGAGAGTTTTCATTGCAAGCATTTGTATATTACTGAAACTAAACAATAATAGAAGGTAGCATACCGCTGAGGGAACAAAGTGAGTTGCAAGACCACAAGCAAGCATTTCGGCACCATCCAATCTTGAACCAGTTAGACCAACATATTCTCCTGCCCAATATTTAGAGAAACAGTGAATGCCAAAACACTAACTGAACTTTTTACCTTTTATTTTGTTCAAAATATGAAATGGTTCAAATCCACAAGTTTCTGTAGTCACAAAAAGCAACACAAAACAAACAAGAATAAAGACAGCAGATATGGATTTCAGAAAGGGAAACAACTAATTGTCACTGGGCACTGTCCAAACACTGTAACAACTCAAACAAAGCTATAATGGTAGGAGGAACAACCACTAGTGCAATTCAAAACTCTTCATAGTGTCTCTGCAGTTTACTTCGAGTACTTAGGTTTGAAAACAATTTACTTTACAGTATAAAATAATATAGAACAAGCAATACAAGGAAAAGGATTCGTTGAAGATATTTATTTGTAACCAAGGATATTGCTGCCATTACCAAAGAATCCAGGAAGTCTTGATAAGAAATATGAGGCGCCCACATCTGGGAAGAGCCCCAAGGCTGCTTCTGGCATGGCAAAGACCTATAAGGATACACTTTGTCAGCGTGTGCTGTGTGGGACCAAGGCTCAAAGAAAGTGTCACTGTTAGATTTTAAAGAACAAACAGATTTTAAAGAGCATACTCAAAACTATTGAATTACGTTGAATTTGTACCATTCAAGTCAAACTGAATCTACACTATACCGTGAACGCAAGATATCTGTGAGTGAAAACCTCTCTTCTTTCACTTTTACTTATTGCTTTTGCAGAAAAACAGAAAAAGGAAAACCAAAAGCCTAGAAATGTAATTAATTGAAGGAAGAATTTACCGAATTCTCTGTTGCAACACGGAATCTACCATGTATTGAAACACCAGCTCCACCTCCCATGACAATTCCATTGAGAATTGAAACCTTAAATGATATTTGCATGCTAAGAGTAAGGAAAAAAAAAAAAAAAAAAAAAACTAAACAGAAATCCAAATCAATAAAATAAATATGTTGAACAATAATACATCCAATAAGACAATAGCTACAAAACTTACAAAACAGTGTTCTTTCTGGCAACTTCCTTACCTGGGGTTTACTGTATGTTGCTATCAAGTAATTTAAGGTAAATTCCTTCCGGAAAAAATCTGCCCCTAATCTCCAATTACCTAAATTATGCAAATGGGAACAAGGTAATATCAGATTAGCACTACTAGCATGAAGCATTGATTGCATCTTTTAAATGATTTTTATCATTTTGTAATCCAACAAACGTAAAGAAGGAAACAAATCAGCTCAGAATACTTCCACTTGACTTGGGGCTGTGTGTTAGATATGGACGTTCACAATCAGAAAAACATAATCTAGAAAAGATAGTCAATACCTTCTTTAATATCACGAACCACAGCAGCAACATCACCACCGGCGCAAAATGCTCTTCCTTTCCCCTAAAAACATGACAAAATATTAATAAAACAAGCTCAGTTATCATCTTCTGAACAGAAACTATTTCTGTTTCATTTTTGTCTCTCAAAACTCATAATAAATTCAAGACAATTTCACAATAATCGCAAGAAAAGTAAAGTACCTTGACAATCACCAATTTGACGTTAGAATCCTTCTCATAGGCACGGAAAAGTTCCAACATCCGAATAATCTAGGCAAAACCCAAGTAAAAGAATGTACCGTGTTTGTCAAATTCTTGTTCAATAGATTGAAATATACAACCTTGGTTAAATATCAACCATAATATTGCATACCATTTGATAGGAAAGAGCATTCAATTGTCTAGTCCTGTTAAATATCAGAGTCCTCGCAAACAGCTTCTCTTCCACCAAAACCTTTCACACCAAGCACAAAACATATATTCACCACACATATATATATATATAAGTATCAAAAGAATACTAATTTGTATATGTGACAAAATTACAAGCAGAATTAAGATATTCCAGAACTATCCACTTTGATTAATATCGCCAAAGAGAGAATTCATCCCAGAATCCACTATTATGCCAAGCAAAACAACTAGATATCTCAATTAAATCCAATTAAAGCCAACTATTACTTCTCAACAACGAAGAATCTGGATTTTTCTTTTTCTTTTTCTCCCAAGTTTTCGCGGAAGCCAATCAAAGCTGTGAATGAATTTCACAAGATATAGAAAAATATATTTAAGAAAAGAAGTGAAAGTTGAAGAAAAACCTCGTCTTCTTCTGGGGGAGAAGAGTTGGAGGAAGCCATTTTCCGGTTGTACAATCACAGAATCTCAGAAGGTTATGTGCATGTCTAAACTCCAAGTTCGTCTCGAGTTTCGTGCAATTATTAATGGGAAAAGGCTAAGTAATACTATTATTATTTTAATATTAATTTTTATTATTTTGAAATTAGTAATGCTGTTATTTTATTTTATTTTTATTTTTTAGGACTTTTTTTTAGTGTTTTTGTCTTTTCAAGAACACTGGTATTTTTTATTTTTTAACTGTCATATTTATATTATACTTTTTTAATCTAGTGTAATTTTATTCAGATTTAACTACTAAAAAAAATAAGAAACACTAATATTCCAAAAAAAAAAAAAGAGTACCAGAAAAACTCTTTTTTATTTTTATTTTTTGAAAGGTGAAGACTTCAAATAAAATAAAATAAAAATACCAGTGACGCTCATTTACCAGGAAACTTGGATGAAAACAAACAAAGAATCAAACATGAATCGAATTCTAATAATGAGAAACCTAAAATGCACACCGACAATCGAGCACACATATTGCGCTTTCAATAATACCACTGTGATCGGTGAAAAGTTCTGATTGATTAAGACGAAGAGATCCAAACTACAAAGGTTACCATAAAAAATAATTAAAGAAAAAGTTATCAAATAGACACACAAATTAAACTAGAAGGTAGAAAACCACTTCCATTATTATCAAAATTAAATCATAGCAGAACAACAAAAAACAACACAACATGATAAAAACATCAACGTGTTTATTAAAAATAAACAAATACTAAGAAAATGATGAATGACCTGAACCATACAAAAAAAAAGACTGTGTCAAGCCAACTGCCGCAACATAAAAATCAAAAACTGGATTCAAACAGAACAACCGTAGAAGAATCACGATCACAACCGACAAACCCAAACGCAAAACAACCCGAACATTAGTCAGCAGTGGTCGAATCCTCCTCGCACCGGCAAAGGCCACCACACCTCCACCTCCAGTATTGCAGTAATTTAGGTTACGTTTAGTTCATAGATTAGAATTATGAGATTAGAATCATTTTCGATTTACGTGTATTTTTTGTGAGATAAAACACTGTAACAAACCATAAATCATGATTCGAATCAGGGTACAAATCCCCTTACCAAACACCCCCTTAGTCCCTATTTTGCTTTTAGTAGATTACTCAACAATGTATTATACAGAAAACATGAGATTTTATGAAGCATAATTAAATAAGATACAAATTTTTTCTTCAGAAATCCCTTGAAAATTAAAAAATTATTGCATCTTGTGCAATCGTCTTATGAAATTTTATGTGCAAGCACGTGCTTACGTCCATTAAATTTTAAAGATCTATCACGAATTTTAGAATTAGAGAACGAACTACCATAAGAAAATAGAATAAAATAAACTCAAGGAATTGATAGTACCAAAAACTCAATATAAAAAAAGTTTTTTTTTTTCTTTTCAAAAGTTTTTAAATTTCTCATAAGATTATAAGGGCACAATTTTGGCGCTTGTAAAAGTGCCCTTCTTTTTTTTTCCTTAACTCAAATATTTTCCCCCATTTTGCCTATGATGTCCAACACGTCCCCAATAATTAAAAAAATCCGTTTAGTTCGTTGATTCGAGTTTTTAATTCGAGTTAAGATGTGATTTTATGTGAGAGTTTGTTACTGTAGTAAAAAAGTTAGATGTGACTGTTTTTTAGAGCTTTTTACTGTAACAAAGCTCGAATTCTAAACTCGAATCAGTGAAATAAATAAGACCTAAGGTTAAGTTCGCACTCATCAAGCCATCCAAAATGGTCAAAATGAGTGGATCTAAGTAATACAGATGCCGTATAAAAAGCAACTCTAGTTCCTAGTCATCAATTTCCCCATTTCATGATCCAAAATATAGAAAAGAAAAGAAAAGAAAAATTTTCTCCAAGTCGTCTTTCTTATTCACTCATTTTATTCAATATGGACATTCCTTGTGGTACCTTGTACTGGCCAACGAAAATAATAAAATATAGTACTGAATTTTCTTGGACAAAGTTGCTATACTAGGCCCTTGAACAAGATAAGATAACAAAATGATGCCTAAAGCTTGGAAATGGCATACACAGGCAAGTTGGATCTCGCAGGGAGTTTTAATTCTCCCCATTCTTCATCGTCTACCTTCGAGAAGTATCGGTCGACCATACTCTCACTGATGAGCTCGAGTTTAGAAGGCTGCCACTGAACAATAAACAAGACACCACAGAGGACACCAAAGAAGAAATAAGATAACTAAAACAAGAATTTATACAACGAAAATACAAGAATTTAAATGCTTCTCTACCTTGGGGTTCTTATCCTTGTCCAATAATAGAGCTCTGCAACCCTGCTTTTGAAAAGAATGGTTTCATGTATTCTATGAGAAAATGAATTAGGAAAGTGAAAATAACAAAAGAGAGCAGAAAAACCTCTACGAAATCCTTGCTGACTTGCCCTTGCATGACGGAAAACGCCATTCTGTACTCGCGAACAAGACATTGACCAATGCCTTGGAGTCTTCCTTCTCTAATCTGGAATATCAGTGCCGAAATAAAATACAAAAACAACAATTATTACTTGAGGCAGACTAGATTTTCAACAGAGAGTTTCCCTAATTCAAATCCCTAGCATTCCGGCACTGCCTAGTTTAGGTGACATTGCCATGCTAATAAAAGACCTCTTTTATCCTATTTCCCCTATCATAAGAATTTGAAAGACAGTTTAAAGCAAATGTATGATAAAGTTGAGAATTTTTGAAGTGGCAAGTATAAGGCATTGCCGCAGTCATACCGATCTCAACCAAATTTTTAAACTCGTTGGAGATGCCTTTTTCAGTGTCTGAATTGTTGCAGGGATCCAATCATCTGCTTTATTAATTGCCTCCCTTTCCTTCAGTAGCAAGATAAGATAAAGACCATTGTCATATCATGTAGAACACACTAAAAAAGTAAAAATGAATCTGTGCAACCAAAGCAACAAAAACTTTAAAAGCATATTCATAACAGGAGACTCTTGTCTCGACTTACAAGGGAAGAAATTATTTGTTCTACCGTTCTTTGAGAGAAGCACTTATCAATAACATTCAGCCTACACAACCAACCAATCACCAAAATTAAGAATCCAAAAGCTCTCAACAGACATTTCAGAAGTAAGCACATACATTCTCTCAGAAAAAAGGTTGCCATCTGGTTGACCTTTGAGCAATACAGCCTACTGTTCTAACTCCTTAATATATAGCAAGCTTCTTTCAACAACACACAAAAAAAGGACAAGAAACATTAAATGACTGTCCACTGATGTTTGAAAAACCAAGCGGAATAAGCATTGGAACTGGTAATCTAATTATTGGGCTTCTAACTATTTAATTATAATGCCGGTATTTTCTCTCCGAAGTAAAGATACAAGATCATAATCATTGCACTGCGGTTTATAGTATGGCGATGTAATTTATTCAGTTTGGTCTCCGTCCGTGTTGCATTGCCCATATGAGCATCTCTACACAAGATTTTCTTCAGTGTTGAAAAATCCAGCACACACAATACAAATTAAATACTGTAATGTAAACTCTAACCGGAGATAAGAACTTTTATCTTTCAGATTAGGCTGCTGCGAATATTTATCAATAATTCCAGAAATTATAGCTGGATCACTTGAATCCACCTTGCATAGAGCTTCTTCTAACAAGCATAACCTCTGTAAATTAATCAAAGTCACAAAAAAAAAACCATTAAATAAAGAAAGCTTTCAGTCAAACAATCAAAGGATTTTTCTCCACCAAGGAAGAGAGAATGGTGAAGTTTCCCCAAGAAAACCTTTTGGGACTGTCTCATGCGTTCAAGTCAGCGATTCTGATTCATTGGTGGGAATTTTATGAGAGAACTATTGGCGGAAATTTTTTTGATTCAAATTTTTTATGAGAGGAAAACACTGTAGCAAAATCAGAATTAAGGATTTAATTACATCAACCAATCCGGCACTTTATGTTTAATAGTTGATCCAACAAAACAGAGCATTATGTCTATTTTCATAGTAAGCATTGACTCATACTGGATTAATAGAACAATAGGAGGTAGCATACTGTTGAGGGAACAAAGTGAGTTGCAAGACCACATGCAAGCATTTCAGCACCATCCAATCTCGAACCTGTTAGACCAAGATATTCTCCTGCCAGGTATGAAGATTGAAGATAAATAATGAATACCAAAGAAACAAAGAATTCTTTCCCTGCTAAATGATAAAAAATACTGTAAATTAAAAGCTTTAGTATCAGTCGAAAGAATCAAACAAATGAAACATGATTAAATCCAACATATATAAAATCAAGGAGGGAAAGGACTACTTGCCACTGTTATACATGTTTTGACAATCAAACAAAGCCAAAAGAAAGAAAGAAAGAAAAAGAAAAAGAAAAAGAGGAACTATCAGCACAATCCAAAACTCTTCATGGAGTCCTCTTAGGCTTGTTCTTTTCACAATTCGAATACCAACTCATACTTTTTGCTACAGTTTTTCTCTGAAAAAAAAAATTCAAACTCAACTTTTTTGCTACATTGTTTCTTCACATAAATTAACTTTTCAACTCAAAGTTCTCGACTCGAACCCACGAAAAGAACAGGTCTTTAGTATACTTGAAGTACTTGGGTTTTTCAAATGATATTTACTTTACCACAAAATAAAATAGAGTAAGGAAATAGAAGAAAAGAATTAGCTGAAGACATAAACAATAGGAATTTGTAAATCAAGGAAGCCCTTAATATATTTGCAACCCTTACATTCTTCAAATAATTTTACTTTACCCCTAAAAAAGTAAAACAAGTAAACAGAAGGAAAAGAGTTAGTTTAAGACATTTAAGAACGGGAATTTGTAAATCAAGGATCTCACTGCCATTACTAAAGAATCCAGAAAGTCTAGACAAGAAATATGAGGCACCCACATCTGGAAAGTGCCCCAAAGCTGTTTCTGGCATAGCAAAGACCTACAAGGGCAAACTTTGAAACTGTGAGATCAAGACACATAAGAAAGTAACTCTTCCATTTCTAAGAGAATACACATAAAACTATTAATTGAACTACTTCAACAAGAGAGAAAATAAATCTACGAGTGCAGATTTATTTGCTATGCCAGAAACAGTTCAAACATGTATCACCAATGTCATCAAGGTCCAAGAGAAAATAAATCTACTAGTGTAGTATGAAGAAGTGATAATGTTTGATCTTCTCCTTTTTTCTTTTGCATATTACTTCCCTCACTTTGACTCTATTCATAATTTCATACCAGAGACAAGAGAACTGAAAGAAATTTCTACCCGGATGTCTTATAGCAAAAGATAGGCATGCAGAACTAGTAAATGATTATGTGAGACAAGTACCGAATTTTCTGTTGCAACTCGGAATCTGCCATGCATTGAAACACCAGCTCCACCTCCCATGACTATTCCATTGAGAATTGAAACCTTAAATGATGTTTCCATGCTACGAGTAAGAGAACATTGTAAACCTCCAAAATACGTGTGTGTGTGTGTGTAAACTCAATTAAGGATTCTTCCAATGGAATTAGTGGTTCTAAAATCTGTCATTATATTTTACTTGGATTAAAAAATGCCTCACCTGAGGTTTACAGTAAGTTGCCAACAAGTAAATTAAGGTAAGCTCTTTCCGGAAAAGTTGTGCACTTAATCTCCAATTACCTAGATTATAACAACATAAAGTTTTTAGTAGATATGCATGATCAATATTTATTCAATGTTATAAATGAATTTCTTTCATGTCACAAATAGGTCTAAATCTTCTAACGAGACGTGGCTGATTTTAGAGAATACCACAAACGCCCAAGGTTGTGGGTGAGTTATAGATGTCAACAATCGCAGAGCATTTGGGAAATAAGAATATATACCTTCATTAATATCACGAACCAAAGCAACAACATCAGCACCGGCACAAAATGCCTTTCCTTTCCCCTAAATGTAGGAAAAAAAATAGAACAATCCCAATAAAAACTTTTTTATGAGAAGCATTTCTGAAATTTTGATATTGTATTAATCTTTGAGCCTCGTCAAGGCAATCTGAAGCTAAGAAATGAATTGGCATATGAGAAGGGAAAGTACCTTGACAATAACCAATTTGATATTGGAATCTGCCTCACAAGCACTTAAAACTTCAAAAAGGCGAGAAATCTAGAAGGAAATCAAATAAATAAGTGAAAGATGAGAAGGGAAGGTAGAGAGATACAAATAGAAACAGAAAGAGAGGACGAGGGAGAGTGAGGGGAGAAAGAATATAGCACATTGCTTAAGTTATGTTCCATAGTTAGCAATCAAATACAGCACACTGGCAATTCAATTAGACTAAGTCTTGTAATACATACAGGATTATAAAATCGAACATGCCTTCTGGAATTTGCAGCGTCGTGAGAGATTATGATGCAAATAGAAACATAATAAAAAGAATGCAGAATGGAAGACCAAATATTTAGAAATGTAAAAGTGCAGTAGAATCCTTATCTTAACTCTCATTGCGACCGGTCGCTAGATAACTTCTCCAACAACTGTTAGTTTACCAATCTATCAGATTAGGATATCTTAATTTCAAATCCCTGGAACTACACTTTCCAATTTATCACCATATGTCGGGCTTATGCTGCGCTCAGTTTCCATTTTCGCACATGATTAACCATTGTCTTAAGCTTTAAGAGGAATTAGTAACCTACCCTAACAGCTCTATTTTAGTGAAATTATTGGTCTAGTCTCAACCTAGTTGCGACCACCAAAAGAAGAAGAGTTGGTCCAATTTTTGTAACACCTCAAGCGCAAAACATAAATTAACTTCAAGTATAACTTCAAATTATGAAAACAAAGTGACATAAGCAAGTGTTTGAGCCATAGCTTTATCTAGAGAAAAGTGCATAAAATTCTTGAAATTCCTTGTTAATGTTATCATAACCTGAAATCACTCAACAAAAACTTATCTTCTATTTTATCAAGGAAAAATGCTAGCGTCACTTTTTCTATTACTTTTTATATTCACAGTTTGACATGTGAACTCTATTAACATGATATATTATTATTTTAACAGAAAATGAGATATTAGAGTCTACATGTCAAACAATGAATGTAGAAAATGATAAAGAGAGTGACAGAAAGATTGACGCTAACATTTTTCTTTTATCAAGATGTTGCATTTTACCCTATGTTTTTAGGAATGTGACGCCTGTCCCCCATATTGTACGGGTCGTATTAGCATGATCTCTGAGGGAGGCCGGGAGAGGTTTCTGCCGCGATTTGAAAAACGCAGGGGATTGTTTCAACACAATTTGCAAATGGAGGGAATAAGGGCAGCATTTCTGGAAACATACGATGGAACAAAACATTTCGAAAAAACACACGAGAGGTTTTTATTATTATCTCAAAATAGAATTGCCATGAGACCAACTTGAAAAAAGAATAGTTTGAGAAGGCATAAATAGTACCATTTGATATGAAAGAGAATTCAGTTTTCTAGGCCTGTTCAGTGTCAAAATCCTCGCAAACAGCTTCTCTTCCACCACAACCTAACAACACCAACCACAAAAGACAAACCATTCATATAATATCAAATCTCAAAATTCCAAGTATTTACTTTAATTCTAACAAATGCGCTAATATATTTACCAAACAGCTAAATTTATATGCAATCAGAATATCAGATGAATGCCGTTACTATTTCTCAATTCAACAAGAAGAGAGAACGAATCGAGTTAAGAACAGAAGAAAAAAAAAAGAAAAAGAAAAAACCTGCTGATCATCGGGCCAGATAGTAATGGAGGAAGCCATTGTATGTGGACTGTGAGAACTGATAGAAGGAAAAGCAAAGGGGAAATGGGAAAAAAAAGAGGGTTAGGGGGTTTTGGAGAGATCTCAAAGCAAGTATTTTGGTTTCTTCTGAGACCTCTGCTCCTATGACGCCTCTGTCCGACCGTTAACAGTTAGCGGTTGGCCTCCGACGAAACCGGAAAAGCTACCACGTGATGTACTTTTTAAAAGGGGCTATTGGCACTGTTTTGTGACATTTTGTTTTGTTTTGTTTCTTTTTTTGTTTTTGTTTTTTAATTGGGAAAAATATGTGCATTATTGAACTAACTTTCTCTCCAATGTGTCCTACTAATTAAAAAAAAATGGATTTCGAATTTTTTTCAGCCAAAATTTTATAAAATTACAAATATATATATATATATATTTTCCTTAATTATCAATTTTTAATTTAACAGTTAATCATTGATTGATTTAATGATTTATTAATAATTAATTTTAATTTATTATTAATTAACGCATTCATTTTTTTAAAAGAAAATAACTCGTTAATTTTTTTATTATTAATTAATAATTAATAAAAATTAAGTAATAACTAATTAATTCAATAAATTAAAGATTTATTAGTAATAAACAACAAAATAATTAGTTATTAATTTATCATGAGTTAATCACTTATTAATTATAATTAATAATTAATTGATTATAAATTAATCACTGATTCACACTTGTAAAGAAAACGGTTATTTTTCTAACATAAAAAAGCTCAGGCCATCTATGAAAAAGGGCAGTAAAAAGAAGTCTATTCAGTTAATTTTTCCAAAAAAAAAAAAAAAAAAAATTATATATATTCTTATGTGTTTTATCTTGCGATAAAACCAGTAGCACTTGAAGTAGGAACGCAGGCAATATAAATCATACCCATAACAGATTGAATTAGAAAGATTCTATTGAGATTTGATCCATCGGAGAAAATGGGAACGAAAAACATGATGGAGTTTGGGGAAGATGAATTCCTGGCATGCTGCGGTAGCACGAGATTCGCCCAAGAAATGGCGAAGGCCTCTCCTTTCTCTTCCCTTGAGGAAGCCATTGTTGCCGCTCGAGATATCTGGTTCAACATCGTCGACGTCAATGGCTGGCTCCAAGCTTTCTCTGCTCATCCTCAGATCGGAAGTTCTCCTTCCTCTTCTTCTCACTCCACTTCTGCTCAGTTAAGTTTTTTTTTTTTTTTTTTTCTTCTAGTTAATTTTTTTTTTTTTTTTTTTTTTCTGTTCTGTTTTCATTGTTAGTGAAATTTCAATAGAAATTTGTTGTTTTCTCAATTACCCAGATCCGAAATATGATGTTTTTGATGATTGGAAACTGATTTAATAGAAGTTATTGGTGTTTTGTAGGTGGAGTAAGGGAGAGCAATCGACTGCTTTAGCAACTGCTACTAGCTCTAGCTTACAGGTCAGTGTGCTCTGAATCAAACTTTAAATTTTGGGTGTAGAATTTTCTTTTGTTAATTAAGGGGTATCGATGATTTGCATTTGATTAAGGGAAAGTGAGAAAAGTGTCCCCTTGTTTCATCAAAATACTACAAATGCCATGATCCTAGGTCTAAGCTAATCAAAAAAGTATCCCATTGTTTTTCTGAATCATCTAAGAAGTATTCGCTGCGCGTTGAATTCTGGTCAAACTCAATGGGGAGTGTACATTAATTAGGGCAAGTGGGCAGCTTGGTCTATTTAGAACATCTCCAATGCAATGCCAAATTGGTGGCCAATGTCAAATATTAGCATTTTAGCGGGAAAATCGCTCTCCAAAATAATATGATCCTTATTCTTGGTGCTAAATTTGGCGCCAAGAATAAGAATAGTATTATTTTGGAGATTGATTCAGTGATTTGGTTGATTGATTCTGGTTGATCTGATTTGATCTTTTCAGGAGCTTGATGAGTGGAATGCTCGCTATAAGGAGAAGTTTGGATTCATATTTCTTATATGTGCATCTGGGAGGAGCACTGACGAAATACTTGCTGAATTGAAGGTGTGAATTTTTTAACTAATGAGACCAATGTCAATTACATTGACCTTTTATCACTGGATACGATCTTACTTGTTAATTGTTATTTTTATGCGGGGTGTTTGAGTTTGTGTACTTTGGTGTGATAGGAAGGGAAATTTACTACACTTTCTCCAAAAAAGAGCTATATAGTTGTTTTCACTGAAGAAAGAAAATACACCTGAAAAGGATAGCCTGCTTTTAGTAATTGCTAAGGAGATTTATGCTCTACTAATGTCACACCAAGTTTCTCAAATTAATGCTTTCTTTTCACTTGTAGAAACGATACCCGAATAGGCCTATAGTTGAATTTGAGATTGCAGCTGGGGAGCAGATGAAGGTAACGGAGCTGCGTCTTGCAAAGCTCTTCTCGACTAAAACAAATGATTCTTCAACAGGCAATCCGTATCCTGAAGCTGTCTCAAAGAAAGCTGAAGGTAAATTAAGTTCGTTTCTTTCTTAAACAGCTTTTGTATATTCAAATATGAAAAATTTATCGGTATGTTTGATTGCTTGTGCAGCAAAAATCTTATTATGGCCCCATTGTGATATCTTGTTTTTCCAGTAATCTTATTCTGATTTAGATCTTGTTTCATCTCTGTGTGTCCTGTCTTTCCAGTGATGGATTTAAGCCCATGAGTAATGTCTTATACTAGTCAAAATCATTATCAAGTAAAGTTACAAAGTATTGTGCCAATGGGCCCTGACCTTGCAACTGATTGATTAAAAGTTCCATGCTTTTATACGTGTAACAACAAGTTTATATTGGTTAACAGTGGAGATCTAGTCACGGCTTTCCAAGTTCATTTACAGTGTGTTAGGGGAAGAAATTAATTCCCCCCCCCCCCCCCCCACACACACACACACACACAAAAGAGAGAGAAAAATATAATAGTGACCCCATTACTTTCACATATTTTCCTAGCTAATTTTTCTTTCTTAAAATTTTCTTGAAGATATTATCAAACCACTTTTACAATCCTTCCTAGTTCCTAATCACTGGCATTTGTAAACTTTTGTTGTATGCTAATATGCGTCATTAGCTTCTACTCACTCTGCTACTTTCTGAGTAATATTCTTTATTTTTGAACTCTAGAAGATCGTATGAGCATTATTGGAGGGCATCTAACTGCTGCTTCAGAATCTTCAATTCGGAAAACATACCAAAGTCCAACTCAAACCCGTCCACCCATTACAACCCACGTATTGGATGTGTCACGAGGATCTCCGGGTGTCGGAATTGAGGTACAATTAGAAGTTTGGAAGGGCCCTCAGCCTCGTCCCCTATTTGGTGATCCAGATACTGGTGGTTGGATCATTCAGGGGTCTTCAGTTACAGATAATGACGGACGGAGTGGTCAGTTGATGAGCATAGTTGATGCTGTGGATCCAGGAATATACAGGATAAGCTTCAACACAGGTAAATACTGCCCCGGAGGGTTCTTCCCATATGTTTCTATTGTGTTTGAAATCAGGGAGTCACAGAAGTTGGAGCATTTTCATGTTCCGCTGCTGCTGTCGCCGTTCTCTTTCACCACGTATCGTGGAAGTTAGAACCTTTTGTTGTTTCAGTCAACAAGTAATTTATCAGTTGTAAAGATTCTCAAGTTCTTAAAAGTTTGTTATTGTTCAGAGAACTTCTTTGTCAATGTTTGACAAACCTAAAGAGGAAAATAGTTCCTTTTGCAATAAATGTGATTCTCTTGCTATATATATATTTAGTCCTTGGGCTACATCCAATTAATTGAGTGAATTAAGGTTGATGTGATCTAGATGAATTCATTCCATGTTAAATATTGCATGTTTCCGAATGTACCAATTGATTTAATCTAGATATTGCTTATATATATATACATACATACATACATATATATATATATATATGTTACAGTGTTTGTAAATTTTGCCTGTGCAGAACTCTGTAAAATCAGATATTTCAGTCCAAATGGCCGAACTTTTGGATGACCCTAGAACATCCAACCGGGATAGAATTTGATTTCTGATTGGATGTTCCAATCACTAGAACTGTTTAATTGCCTTGCTTCGGCAGAATTCAAATTGGCTACCCCATTTTTTTGGCGCGCTGGTTGTTTCTTGAATCAAATTTTGACAGCTCATTCATTGTTCAAGTGGTTTTGTGAGAGAAAATACTGTAACGAATCACGAATCATAATTCGAATCAGGGAATGAATCTCTCTACCAAACATCGCCTTAACTTTTATTTATGTGTTAGCATTTAGGTTCTTAAATTTAGATGATACCATAAAGTAGTATTGGATGGACAGCTATAAAGTGAGATGACATATTTGGACTCGCTTTCTCATCAATTATAGGCTGAAAATTAGGAAACCAAGGTCCAAGCAACAAAAAGTTCCTTGGGAAAATTAGCATTTGGCATTAATGAATATCAATTAAAAGTAGTATTGGATGGACAGCTATAAAGTGAGATGACATATTTGGACTCGCTTTCTCATCAATTATAGGCTGAAAATTAGGAAACCAAGGTCCAAACAACAAAAAGTTCCTTGGGAAAATTAGCATTTGGCATTAATGAATATTATTTAACCTAGTCCCTTGAAATGGAACCTTTATACTTTTATTTTTAACATTAGTCCATATATTTTTACTTTTTAGACTAGAATTAATCAAGGGGTAGAGTTTTTTAAAACGGATACTTTTAGTAAATCAAGTAATTAGGAGGTAGAATCTGTAATTTTCTCATTTAGGTCATTAGGTGCTTAGACCGCAGAGTCACCACAACATGACAAGATCTCTCTTATACCTATAATTCACGCATTTGAATTGTAGAATCTGTATTAGCTTAATCTTTATGAAATATAGATTGCAACATTTGAGTGTCATGGGAGACAAACCCACCTTTCTTATGTCAACTTTGTTAAACTACTATGTAGTTAGTTTCATGCCTTGGATTTCTTGTGATACAATACATATGTAGTTGCAACTAATCGTTGAATGGGGGAAAAAAAAAAAATCTTTGAATGGCCTACCAAGTCTTTCTGTGCAGCCCAATTAGCTCATTTTCGTAGTCCAAGTTTCAGCCTGGACGAACTCTGAGGCCCAATTATATTTATCTATTTTTTTTTTCCATTACAAAATTAAAAAGAAAAACTTTCCAATTTCTGTTATAATTACAATCGTCACTTTCGGTTTTAGCTATAAGTACATGATCACGAGAGACCGGGGCTGATCCTGAGTCTTCATCGGCAAATATTTATCACCCACAAACTTGCTTTAACCAAACATCTGCATGCTTAACACATATAAGTTAGCTAGGTTTACAGCCACACCAAAAAAAAAAAAAAAAAGAGTGGAAATGGATATGTATATAAATACATACACACACACACACACACATATATATATATATATTATCCACGAGCTTTACTTCCATGGGCCATAATGTTTATATAAGTTCAAGGTGATCCCCTAGCTACTATCTACTTTAAAGTATTATAGGCCCCGTTCTTTTCGCTGATTTAAGTTTAAAATTTGAGTTTTATTACAGTAAAAAGCTCTCAGAAATAGTCACATCTAACTTTTTTGCTACAGTAAAAAACTCTCACACAACATCACATCTCAACTTGAATTAAAACTCAGAATTAGTAAACCGAACGGACCCTAGAGTACTATTATATTCTAAAAGTTTGAGTAAAGAAGAAAGAGGTATTAAATAATCATGCAGGCTGTCAAAGAGAAGCTGAGTGATATGAAGGACATGCGCAAGGCCAAGGCCAAAGAAAAGGTATTGGCTATGTGCCAATTATATATGTCCGAAGTTGATGTTAATTATTAATGCGTTACAGAAAAAAAAAAGTATATGAAATTCAATATGTTATATTAGTCTAATTATCTAGTAATAATACGTGTGTATATATATGTGGTTATATGTATTGTCTGACGATAAATTTACACATGACTCCGTCACAAGGTTTAAGTTTAAATTCATCACCCCAAATTTGAAATAAATAGAAGAAGAGTAATGCTAGAGACACTAATTCTAGTCTCAATTTTTTGTACGTACCCACTTTAAATTGTCGTCTTTTGATTAACGAATATAGTATTTTTTTATTAATTGATGTAATGTTTATCAGTAACTACAATGAAAGAAATTATATCAACTCACTTTACCTCATGAATTTTGAATTAATCCCTCTTAATTTCTTTTTTTTTTTAGAATTTCCGTTAAAAATATACAGAAAAGAAGGGGATGGTTCGAGAGCATGCAATCTTTTTCTGTTTGTTTCAGTATAAGTTCTAACAAGTGGTTAAACAAGACTAATTTCTCTCTTTTTCTATTTATTTTTAATAGAAATTCTAATTGAAGGGGCTAAGTAGAACTAAGTTAAAATTCAGGGAACAGAGAGGAAGGTTTCAAAGTTAAAGAAACAGTATGAGAGTGATTATATAGTTTTGAAGAGCACAAATAAGAATACTCCGTTACATTATATAATTAGGGTTGGAGATTGTTCATGTGCCTTCTAATATTTAACGATACAGTAAGCTAAAATCAAACCTTACTATATGTTAATTTATAATAATTTGTCCACTATAGTTCAAGTGTCAAAAGAAGGTGACCTAACTCCCATAAAGTCTCACCAACATAATTATGACTTGTTCAGCTTAAAGAAACATGCTAATGAATCAAAAGTTCATTACGAAAAGAGATATGATCCTGCAATAAGTACTCCAAGCAGTTTTTCTCTGAGTCTATAATTATCTTCACCACTTCCCCAACTCCCTTAATTATCTGCTTTTTCTGCTAAAATGGCAACAAAAGAAGAGATTAAGGAGAAAGAGAAAGAGGTCAAAAAAGTAGAAAACAAGGAGAAAGATGGAGTAATCACTGCTGTTTACAAAACAAAACTGCATTGCCTGCAGTGTGCACGTGATATCAAGAGGCCTCTTTTGCGTACTCAAGGTAATTATACTCTCTTTGTTACATCTTAGAAATCCCCCAAATCAATCAAGAACTCTCCAATAGTAGACGTCTCTACGATAGTGATGTTAGATCTAGTCGAATCAATTTGAAATGGAAAAATATACAAATCAACTGACGGGTATATAGAATACGAATTTAACTGTTTAAAACAGAACCCTGTTAATAGAGTGTATCTTTTCGTATCCTACTATAGTCAACCACAACCTTACAATTTTTTAGTATAGCATGAAATAATTAATTGACTTCGCTAAATAGGTGACCTTAGAAAAGGTAGTGAACCCTAAAATATATATTTGGTGCAAATCACATACCTATGTGAAAACTTGTTGCTGATGTTGGTCTATAATATGCAGTTCTATATAATTGGGATGAAATTGTTTTTTCATAAATTTAACTTTTGTTTCTTAAATTTTGATTCATCAAGAGGAAGTAGTACTTCAATTCCTTTTCACTCTCATGACATATATTTTTAAAATATCTCTCCTCTTTTTTTTTTTTATAGAAATGATAATATCTTAATTAATGGAGCATTATTAGAAACGATAATGTTATAATTGTCCAGGTGTTCACAGTGTGGATGTTGACATGGAGAAAGGTGAAATTAAGGCAAAAGGCAGCTTCGATCCGATCGAAATTCAGAAACGAATTGAGAAATTGGCCAACAAGAAGATTGAGTTGATATCACCTAAAATCCAAATCAAGGAATCTGTCCAAACAGATAAGAAAGTGGTCAAGGAAACCAAACAAGTATGTTATATTATATTATGTTATGTTATTTCTTTTTTCTATTCTTTCCCCATAAACATATATATATATATATATTTTAATTTTCAGAATTCTTCATGATATTTTCTAATCTCCATATATTGAAACTTCATGCCCTTGCTTGAATTGAAAAAAAAAGGGGTTTCAGGACAAGAATTTCTCCCAATATTGAGATGACCACTATTTTTTTCTGGATATATAATAAAAAAAAAAATTTTTTTTTTTTTTTTTTTTTTTTTTTTTTTTTTTCCTGAACCAAAGAGTAGATCTTTTGTTTCTTGATTAATCAACTAAATTCCTGCATATGTCCTTGTTTAGGTAGCTACAGGTGGGAGTTATCAATACGATTAAATTAATCATCTTTTTTGTTCGTTTCTCTTTATCTTTTTTTTATAAGAGTTTTGAAATCCCGGCACGTTAGGGCTGCTTTAATTAATTATTTGAATGTGATTAAAATTAAATGGAACTAATAATTTCGTCACCATCCCTGCAATTTAAAGAATTCCACGGTCAAACCTCATGGAATGCACGAATCTTTTCTTTATTTTTTTCCCCCCTCTCCCTATTAAACTAATCCAATTAGATACTTTTGGGGTCTTCTTTTATACGTATAAATGAAACATGTGGATCAAATTATCAGCATCATTTTATACAAAATGAATACGTGAGAAATTATGTCCATGTCCATATATAATTAACTTTTTTTTTTCGTTTATTTTTTTAATTACGATAGAAGATTTAATATTACCCCTTGCAGTAAAATCATGTGCGAACTTACCATCAGATCCACGGTTAATTTTTCTTAAGGCACATATTATAATGATTTTCTTTAAGGCACTTATAATTAAGTTTTCGTTACTACCTATATACAATGTCCACCGATCGACATGTAGATTAAAATATATAATTATCTTCTTGGTTGTTTAACCCAACTTGCAACTTGCAAGCAAATACATACATACATATATATATATATATATTGCATTATAATTTCTTTGTCTTGTATCATAACGTTATTCACAGTGGCAGTACACAGATACATATATAATCTCTTATCCTTTTCATGGTCACAATTTTGATAATCATGATTGATTAATAAGAGCATATATAATTATTTCCATCCATTGTTAATAGTATCCTTTTTCCTATATATAAAAGCAATCAGTACTATATATTTACATATATAAATTTATATATAATCTCTAGTCTATCCTCTTTCTCTGTCTCATGATTCATTTAACTATATTATATAAATTAAAAAATTAACTATTCACTTTTGTATGCTCTTATGCTCTATTAGATTTATGAATATTTTGCTTGACATTATATTAAAGGATATATGTGTTCACGTGCCTGAAAATGCTACACGCACACATATGTAGTACTCATATACATTAATTTTAACTAATAAATAGACACAGGTAATTATGTAACTATATATTTGTTTTATAACTCAAGTTGAAAAAAATACTGTAGCAAAAAAGTTAAAATTGTGAGGGAAAAAAAGTTGAATTTAAATTTTTATAACAGAAAATACTATAGTAATAAAACTTGATATGTGAAAAGAACAAGGCCGATATATTGCTGACAAAATGTAATGTAAAATTCTGAAACATACTAAATTAATTTTGTCGTATGAATTTGAAGGCTATTTCGAGGACAACATCAATGAAGGTAAACATGCATTGCGACCAATGTGCGAGAGATCTCGAGAAGATGCTGCTAAGGCAAAAGGGTATAAAGATTAATATTTATACAAAATTAATTCTCAATTATTATTGTGTTTAAATTATATTAATTTATTGTTGATTTTTCAGGTATTCACAGTGTTAAGACTGATATGAAATCACAAATTCTAACGGTGGACGGAACCATAGAGCCTGAGAAACTTGTATCATTCCTACAAAGAAAGGTGAACAAACATGCAGAGATAATAACCGCGAAAAAGGAAGAAAAGAAAGAGCAGATTATGATCAAGGAAGAAAAGAAAGAGCAGATTATCAAGGAAGAAAAGAAAGAGCAGATTATCAAGGAGGAAAAGAAAGAGGAGAAGGGGAAATTAGTAGTTAGCGGTGAATTAGGAAAATCCTCTGACTTAAACATTATAGAGGTTAAGGAAGAAAAAAAGATAGTGGAAGCTGCTAAAACTATAGAAGGAAATGCCCCCTATTTCATTCACTATGTTTATGCTCCTCAAGTGTTCAGCGATGAAAACCCAAATGCTTGTTCTATCGCATAGAAGATATATAGCTTAATTAGCATATATATTGTTGTGATGTTTTAAAAATTTGATGTTAGTTTGTATTGTATTTTTAGTTAAAAGTTAGTGTAATCATAAGTAGATACAAAATACATGTATACTTATATATATATATATATATATATATTGATCTAGTTTATATTTCTTATAAATCAACGTTGATTCAATTATTTTCAATTCAAATTCTAAAAATATAATTACATGAAACTAAGATCATTATTTCAAATATATCTAAAATAAATACATTACTTTTTTTTATTTGTTATAGAGATAAACAAATTGGATGGATTAGAATTTTGGTTCATTTTAAGCATGTTTAAATAATTAGTAAATTTAACGAGTGGTAGCAAAACGACGGCTCACATCTTAAATTATGCTAACGTGCAACAGTTTTTAGGGAATTGGATAAGATTAGAAAAAAATTTAGAAAAAATGGAGAATTTACCAAACACATTAACCCCTATAGATTCATTAACACTCTAAAAGCAACCTCCAAAGCCAATACTAAACAGCCATATATATATATATATATATAGGCATATTCTTGAATTGTTAAAATTTAATAGCTAGGTTCCAAATGTTTACCTAATTTTGTCCACTGATGTTCGAGTGGTACATGGCATCGATTTCCTAGTACATGTACAGAAAAAGGGGAAATATATAATATCCACGATCAGTTGATTGTAGAAAAAGTTTGTAGGCGTTATATTATACATGAAATTAATCTGGTTTACTATTTTATTGGTTCATGAAGTGATCCCTTGCATTAACAAACTCATCTGATAAGTGCTTATATATAATTCACCATAAATAACCAGAATGCACACACACACACACACACATATATATTACATTGTATAAAGTATTTATGTACAACACACACATTTCTTTCAATTTAATTAACAGAAGTTACATTAATTAATGGGGGTCGTATTTTAAGTACTATATAACTGAATAAAGCCATGAACTTTTATTTGATCTGTTATATTTATCATGTTGCATATCAATGGGAGTCATACAATTTAATATTTTTAATTAGTACTGAACAGCATACGAGAGAGATGATTAATAACATGACAATCACGACACTTCACACTAAATTTGCTGATTATTATCTCGCAAAGATAACGACCTAAGAAGCACAAAATTGGTCTATAAATTAGTTACAACACATAAAAAAGAAAAGAAAGAGAGAAAAAGGAGAGACTACTAAATGATTTGATCACGTTTATATATGTCACTAGTTACTCCCAGATAACCAGATATAATCGGTATTAAAAGATATTTAGCTCACTAATTAGTTTTACATGTTTGCAATTTCTTAGTCCCGAGGTTTACTTGCATACATGAGATGTATCAGTAGGCGGATTTAGAAAGAATAGCCAATCGTTTTTTTTTTTTTTTTTTTTTTTTGTTCATAATTAATCTAGCATCTTAAATCACACATATATATATACCAACAAATTACGTGCATGAAGATGCTTAATTTTAATAATGAATTTAAGTTCTACAGATTCAGAATGCATGGCATAACAGAAGCTTATATATAGAAATCTAGAAGCAACCTGATAATTAATGACTTACATTCTTTCTCACCAATAAACTCAAAAGACTTCGACCGAGAGAGTAAGAAGATCATATTATATATATATATATATATATACACACATGAGACATTGTTGGATTCTGAAATGGGTGAAAAGCAAAACAATTTTGAGGCTTGGTTAATTATGCATCAAGAACACATAATTAATAAATACTCATGGGATAAGGGAAGAACACCAATCATATTTTAAAACAAGGTCAACATATATATAGTTATAATTTAATAAACAACAAAATGATGATCAACCACCAAATTACTAACTAATATTCTCTAGGTGGAAAAAATTATTTATTAATGCAATGGTTTGTTTGTTTTGGTCGGATAAGTGTCAAATAGGGTTTCCAAAATCCTCTATTTTCAGAATATGATATGTAACACACAGACACACATACATCTTTTAGTTGTATGTATAGACGGCGTAAAGATGTTGTTTGTTGAACACTTACTCCGTAAGTTAACAAATGTTAGCTGATCCACTAGATATCACAATATACGAAATGTTACCAACACAGACTTTTTCCAAAGCGCTAATTCTTGTTAAACAAGACATTAATTAAACAAATTTATCAGCTAACCAGTGGTTTCAGTCATGCAAACAATGAATCAATACTTTTGTAGACTTTGGAAGAAGTTAAGAAACTTTAATGGATCGTATTTAATTCTCTCTTTATTAACTTTGGTACACTTCTCAAGATTAGTCTCAGAATATGTTCTATTCGATTATATACCACAAACAAGGTGAAACTCCATTCATATAGAGCTAGATATATATAGATGCACCTTGGATCTTATACGTACGTTCAATATTTTTATACGTTCTTGAAGCTTATAATAAGATAAAGAGCTAGCCTTATAACCATATGTTAATAGTTCTATACATTTTCTTACACAACAATATATATAAAAAAAGAAAATTCCAGGAAAATAATGTACTACACCCATTAGTCATTTTAGAACTTTTTTTTTTCTTTTTTCACTCCATAAGAGCTTTTCATCCTAAAAAGATTCCACCAGGAAATTAAAATAGTTAGGTCTAATGGTCTATGAGGATCACAAATACACTGAAAGTTAGAAGGGGGAAATATATTAGAACTATGTACATATTTAATTATGTACGGCCTGTTAATTATGTGTTTACATGAAAGCCAGTTGGAGAAGACCTTTAACCCATATTTTATGTTCTCTCTTAGGATTTTTATAAATACTTTACTTGGAAAAGATTAATTCCTAATTAAAGCTAAGTCTGCTTCGTTGTCTTTCATTGTTTTATATACTTCACATGTGTACACATCACTAAATTTCCTGCACTCTGGCTTTTATTTAATTACAAACTTATCAGATAGCTAAACAATACACAATAATTTTTTAATAAATATAAAAAATCATAATTATATCCCTCCTATAAGAAAAAACAAAATTTTGAGGCATTTTTTTAGTAAGGAAGTTATAAGCTAATCATTTTGTATATTTCTTTCTACTATTGTTGCTTCAATAAATTTGAGTGTGGTTCTTAGTATAGAATATAAAATGATTAGTGGCACTCACTACTTTCTTTTTGTGCTATCTCCGTTCTTAAATCACTACTTTCTTTTTGTGCTATCTCCGTTCTTTTTTTAAAAAAAAAAAAAAAAAAAAAAAAAAAAAAAAAAAAAAAAACCTAATCTGACGAGCAAGTACGTGAAATATCCAGCTTAATATAATGGTCAGATATATTTTGCATCCTAAAACCCAAAGCTGAAATCTTAATTTCATAATTAAGAAAAAGGTAATTTTCCACACATATATATCCACGGAATCATCATAATTATCATTCATGAACAAAAAAGCATTTCTCAAAAAAAAAAAAAAAAGTTACAAAATTAAAACAACAGAATTTTTTGGTTGATGAGAAGCAGGAAGAAAGGGAAGAAACTAATTAGTTGTACAAAAGATTGGAGTAATATTGTATCAGTCTAGGAGATAATAATTCTCTGACCTCATGAATCTGTGCCCTAACACCAGCAGGGAAACGCCGTTGTTTTTTTTCCTTTCAATAACCCTGCCGTCCGGACGTCGCCGAGTTCCCGGCCCAACCGTCAACCGGCATCTGCGGCGCCATGTTATTCAGCGGAAGGTTGAAGAAAGGGAGTCCAGCCGATGGGTCAGGGAAGGGGCCGCCACTTCCTCCTCCGCCTCCCGAAGGCGGTGAGACTTGGTCGGGGAGGGGCCCGCCACTTCCTCCTCCGCCTCCCGAAGGCGGTGAGACTTGCTGCTGCATCTGGAGTGGCGGCTCCTCCTCGTCGAGCGGTAGTCTCTCATACGCAACATTGGTGAACGACGAGGCGATGACGATGACGGGCCCGGACGCAATCAGTGCCCCGACGACATTCCCTCCGACGACCTGGCCTTGACCTCCGGCCAAGAATACCGTCAAGCTTGTGGCCCCCGGCGGTGCAGGCGGCGGCAGAAACGAGCCTGACAGCGACAGTATCTCGAACCTCCCGTGTAGGGTCACGACTGCGCCGGCCGCCGCCGGCTGCCGGAGAGTCACGTTGGTGACGGTTCCACTACCGCTGAGCACGCAGATCCCCCGCTGCCTCTTCCGCGCGTAGGCTGCCACCGAGTCGAACACGTCGCAGCCGCCGCTGACCTCCAAGATGTGAGCCCTTAGGGTGTTGGCGCTCTCCCGGGTGATGATCACCGGCGGCTTTGCCTTGTTCTTCGACCCCGCCGGCCGTCCCCTCGGGCGTCGGGCCGCGACGTCTCCCATGCCGTGGTTCGGCGTCACGAGGTCGAGCCCGGCCGTGTTGTTGTCGTCCTCGCCGTGGTTGTGGTCTGCGCCGGCGCCGGAGAAGTGGCCGTTGTTGCGGTTGACGTCATGGTGATCGTCGGAATCGGGCGGTATTTGGAGGTGGAGATCAGGGCGTTGGAGATGCTGAACAAAGCGAGAAGCTGAGCCTAAGTCTAAGCCAGCCATACACCAATTTGAGATATGGAAGCTAAAGGGGAAACAGAAAACAAGAAAAAATATTATAGTTAAAAGAGAAAAAAAAAACAATTAAAAGTTTTTAAATTGTATAGTAATTAAGTTAAGGATTATAATATGAGAGACCCATGATTCAAAACCCTAGAACGAATAGAAAAACAAAAGGAATCGAGTACTGCAGAGAAAAGGGAGGGCTGGGGACGAGAAAGAGAAAGAAAGATAGAGAGAATGAGAGAAGAAAAAGATAAAGGAGAAACAAAAGAGAGAGAAAGAGTGGAAAACGCAGCCATTCTCTAACACCAAATTAAAATAAATAAATCAATGAACAAAGAATATTTTAATAAAAAACAGTATGATTAAGAAATGTTTTAGTGATTGTTATGTTGTCTTTCTTTTCTTTTTTAATGTCGGAAACTTGAATTTTTCTTAATAATGCTTATGTTTTGCTCTGAATAATGTTGTTACATGTGTATAATGTAAAAATATAATATATATACATATATATATATATATATATATTTTACAAGAGATGTAAAAAAACAAAAATAAAATTTGATGTGTTGAAAATCTGAATACCCACCAAACGGCAAAGGATTTGAAATATTTGAACCTATAAGAAGACACAATTGGTATGTAATATATTATGTTGTATATAAGTACGACATTTGTCAAGATATGTGATTGGTTAAGTTCGTATTAATTCCTTTTCATTTTGTTTATTGGCGACAAGAAAAGGAATTTAGCTAGGAGGATTAAGTTGCTATCCCTAGAAGTTTTCGTTAACCCTTTCATGCAGTCAATTGAATCATCCATTTATCAATTTCGTGAACACAATAAAAACGGTGTTTCCACTCAACCAAAAGACTAGTACAATTGTAGCTTTTCCAAAAATATCAATATTAATATAACAAACAATTAACTATAATAAAAAAAACAGTTAAGACTAAACTATATTCAATTTTCGAAAGAACATGGAGAACTTCTTCGTGCACCCTTCTGATTGACATGCATACAGTTGTGCATGCAATTGTGCACAAGAGGGATGATAATAAAAAAAAAAAATCGAACTTCACAAGAGATGAGCCAAAAAATAAAAATAAAAATCGAACTTCACAAGAAATAAATTTCCAATTCTTTCAAAATATGCTCTCTTCCAGTTATATAGGCTTTTCTTATTAATACAATATTATATAGGGATTTCAGTACAAACAGCCCGTTTTGAAGGATTTTTTTATAAACAATTGAAGTTTTGTAAAATTATAAAAATGATCGCTTTTATTAACTTAGTGGTCAATCACTGATTAATTTAGCGGCTTATAACAATTGATGGTTAATCTCTGATTAACTTAACGGTCTATCAATAATTGACTTTAGTTTATCACTGATTAATTCAATGATTCTTCATTATTAATTGATATTAGTTGATAATTAACTAAAATTAATTAATAATTAATCAATTTTAATTAGCAAATTATAGGTTTATTAATGATAAACCATTAATAAATTAATAATGAATCAGTTAGTCATTGATTGAATTCCGTAAACAAAATGACTATTTTTGAAAAATGAAAAAGTTCGGTCATTTATGAAAATAAGTGGTAAAAAAAGACCATTTACCTAATTTTTCCTAATAATATAACAAATTATCATCCTTGTCGATTTTCGTTCGTCTAAAATATTCAGTTTTTACTCTTATTAGAAGCTAAAAATTCTATAACAAATCATAAAAAAAATTAAAATGAAGATTCTAAATAGGAAACTACAACGTCTAACTATATATCTGTGTTGTTCAAACTAATCAACACGATAGAATATTGAGATTTAAATGGATATAATTTATTCATTAGAAAATGTTAAGACTACAAAATATGTGAAAAGGAAAAAAGAAAAATTAATGCTTAAGACTTCTTAGTCCAGTGACACTAAAAAGTTTGGGTGGTATGAGATTTAAGTGGGAATTGTGGATTCAATTCCGTGTTATATATATAAAAAAAAAAATTACAATAATCAAATTAAAAAAAGACACTCGCTGGATGGGACTCCATCTAAGATTGCTGGAATTTGGAGTGAACGCGAGAAGAGAAGAAGAAAATATTAGAAGAGAGTCTATGGTCAAATTAAAAATAATAAACAACCAAATTATTTTTTAAGTAGAAAAAAACAACAATTTCAGCTGAGTATATATAATGTATATGCACAGATTATATATATGTGTGTGTCGCACGTATATATATTAAATTGATAATAGTACAAAACTATTACTACACACAATAAAGTAAAAGGAGGATTGAATTTAAGTAAATCATATATAATCACTTTATTATATATATATATACACACACACACACACACACACATGCACTTAGTACTCAAAAGTGATTAATAATTCTTTTTAATTCATAAATTACTTCCACTATATATGGTATATTTGTCATTCTAAAAATAGGACGTATCAAAATTTAATTGCTTGTCTAACTAGTATTGTCTTTAACGCTTATACTTAAGTCTTATATATAAAAATTATTTAAAGTATTAACAATTTATTCATTCAATAAGGCATGGTCTCTTAATTCCTTCTTATATATATTGGTAAGTTATGCCTAGCCAATAGCTACTAGCTAGATTTTGATGTTTTAATCCTTGATATTTTATTCAAACCTTTTTCAGTAACTAATAAGTGGATATCACTAGCAAGTAGGTATAGCAAATATCTATGCATGGGTAATTTAATTAATAGGATCTAACATATTATATGTGTATATACATACTCACACACATATATATATATATATAGCTATCCCAAAAATCTTATTGATTGGGGCTCTATTACAGCTTGTATATGTAACCTTTTCGTTTCTTAATCTTCTTAAGTACTATTGCTTTCACTTCATTTTACTTGCGTCCTTAATTAGCACCAAGTGACTTGCCTTTTGGAGTAGTGCTGCACCTTAATTGTTGGCTAGCTCTTGTATTTGTAAAGCCAGTTTCCAAAAGTATAATTTCTTATATTTTTATTATTATTTAATTTTTCGGCAGCAAATTATAGATACAGTTCTGTTAACTAAAATTATATAAATAACATTGATGTTGATAACTTATGTTTGTGTATATAAATATGTGCCCAGTTCTCAATGATCTCTTAAAAGTTGGTCACATTTTTATAATTTTTCTTTTCTTTTTTCTTTTAAAGATATTCCAAAGATTTTTCTCTTAATAGTTGGCAACAGTTTTATGTTTTTTTTTTCCCTTGACAGTAAATCATATGGTAATTGCAATTTCAAGTTCAAGGACGTTCATTTGAAATTGGACAAAATTTTGCTCCAAGACATGAGGCTAAACATGATAGCAAGATTAAGAGACTTATAAAAATATAATCTAATAATTAACTTGATCTATAATATGGTCTTGGGAGAAATTTCAACTTGCGTGCTTTATAAAATTGTATAAAGTACTTGTTCTTATATTGCATAGATACACATATGCCTATGTTTGTGGAAATATTATCAATGTTAAAAGAGATAAATTTTATTATTTTAAACTTAAATCGGTGAAATGAACGTGACATACACATACATAGTTGAACACAATCTCGGTCTTATCGAGAATAAAATATATTCATTATCTGTTTCATTTCTGCACGTTTTATAGAACAAAAACACGTTATATATAGATGTTAAGGTGATCTACATTGCGTATAGTTGGGAAAAAGGTTTGTTTCCATATTGTTAATTTTGTACTTTAGCTAACAATAATTTTACCCCCTAAAGTTGAAGGAAACAATGAGTTTTTTTTTTTTTTTTTTTTTTTTATAATCATAACTTTCTCATTAATTATACGTACATTGTTTAAGGGACTGATTATTAATTATATTATATCCTAGGCATAAACGACAAAATGCTGATTAGGAATTAATTTTTTTGAGTCTCGACAATCAACCAATATTCAATATAATTTAATTAATTGAGTTAATTACGACGAAAGTAAAAGAGGAAAAAATTTGAGAGAGAATTCTAGAGAGAGTGAGAGCAGGAAGAAGGAAAATAGTCCAGTCGGCTATCGAAAGCGCGTCTTCGGTCAACCGACCCTCAAAATACACCCACGCGCTCTACATCGACCGATCTGCACGATGGTGGAGTCCGTGTTGGTGTTTTCTTCTCTTTTTTTTTAGTTATTCGTGAAATAAAAATAGTCATTATGCTAGTGTTGGTGTTTATTTTCCCCCACAAATTGCTAAATCTATGTGGGCTTTGGTTGTTTTTGTTATTTTTAGTTGTGTTCCCCCATCAAACTATAACATTGTGTGGGTTTTGTTTTGTTTTTTATTTTCTATATGTCTTTAGCCAGATCGGCAAGCTTGATCTAGAAGAATACTGGCTTTTAGAGATCAGTATTTACAGAGGTTTACTACATCCCTTTTGGGAGAGCCAACCATGGAGGGAGAATTAAACGAGCCAAGAGAAATGCTCTAAATTGTCCATTATCGGACCTTAGATCCCTGTATTAGGAAGTTAACAGATCTATCGATTTTGGTTTGTTGTATAAGTTTTCTGCATGAATTTTCTGTAAGTTTTATAGTTTGTTGTTTAATGAAATGTTTTTTGCATTCAAAAAAACTTACGACGAAAGTACACCAATTTTGTCCCTGGTCATTATGTAGAGTTTTACAGATTACTACCTCCTAAATTAGTTGACTCAAAACTTATATATATAATATGACAAATAGTCGATGCAATTTTCCTCACTTTCTTTAATATTGTACTTGTTTAGAATTCATTCACACATTCTCTAGTTTAACTTTGTTAAAAACAAACTTAATTTAAAAAATTATTGCCTAGTTCTGGTCATCGATCCGTGTTCAGTACTTCCTAAGAAAACTTTTTTGTCGCTCATATGACATTTCAATAGATGTGAATACATGGACCGACCACTAGTCTATGACGAATTACGAATTATTAGGAAAACCAAATCATGAAAAAGGCCACACACAGAGATATAAATAAACGACCTGGATATGATGACAATTTTGTAGCTATTATTCAACTTGGTGTGAATAGTGACTATATTATAAATAAACGAAGCTCTTAATCAGTGTGGGCAGGGATCAAATAAAAAATGGATAAAATATAAACGTGAAACAAAAGGCACCGAACAATCGGCATATACATGGCATAGATGAAAGCAACAAATTAACTTATTCCTAATTAAAAAAAAAA